AAAAAAAAAAAAAAAGAAAAAAAAACCCCCTCCAAAGCTATCCATTGGGATGTATGTTAGCCAGTTAAGAGTTCCCTTATCGACTGAAAGGCCGTCTGGTATGTTTTTAACATGTGCCCTAATAGCATCCAGTTGTCCAAAGCGGGCTGAACACAAATTGTTACAAGGATTGATCTTTTCATCTCTCTTTCCTAAAGCGGTGCGTTGAGGCTAGATGGAATGTGACAATGTGACCAGTGTGACCCAGTGTGCAGTGACACTGTCATCGTCAGTGCTCCACCAGAGCCCCTCCCCAGATGGGCCTTAGGCACCCCCATCCCGGGCGGCAAATCACCGAAACAGAACATCCAAAGTCATGTGTAACTTCCTCTTTGTCGATGATTTAAGCAATAGATAAATAAATACAACGCCACCATCTATGTTTGTTTGTTTGTTAGTTGGTTTGTTAGTTAGTTAGTTATACGCTGTGCGGTGGAACAATAGGTCAATGTCAAACTGATGAAAGCAAGTCATCCATGATTTCATTCTTTGAAAGAACCAAAGTATGTACTTCCAATAGTCCCCACTTCGTCTCCCTCCGCCGACATTTGACTGCTGCTGCTGCTGCTGCTGCTGCTGCTGCTGCTGCACGTTTGGTGGCCGCCAGAACCTCTCCCATCTGCAAGGGCCCCAACCGATCAGCTGCGTTAATTACTTCTATACCCCTCTTTCACCCGGTAGTGGTTCGACGCGCTTAGTCGTTTATAAACCCGACATTGTTTCCAGCCCTCCTGCTACCTCTAGAAAGAAGATCTCTCTCTGAGGTTTCTAATCCCCATCTTGCTGCGCCTCATTGTCATAAGTTTCGAAACCCTTATTTCCCATTCAGGAGCCGCAACGGCGGAAGATTGACTTTCCCTTCCCACTGCGGGGCTGCCGTTCCGTCCATTCGAAGCTGCTTTCCCTCTCATCGACCAGCCAGCCCGCGCCAGATCTTCTGTTTTCTCCCCCTCCTCTCTGACTGAGACAAAAAAAAATAAAAGGGGAAAAGGAGGAAAATAAAAAATAAAAAAGTCCAGAAAACTAATCGAGAAAACAACAAAAGTACTCGCGAAAATCCCCACTCCCTTTTGGGTGGACCGACCGCACATTTTCCTCCCCCTCCATTTCTTTCTGGGCGTCTACAGAACGACACTCGCTTTACCGCCTCGAGTTTCCTTTGTGCTACTAGCAGTCGATCGTTGGAAACCTTTGATTTTATTTATTTATTATTATTTTTTTTTTTCATCGCCCCCTCCAAAACCATGGCTGATCTACGAGGACGTAAGATCTTTAAGGTCTTTAACCAGGATTTTATTGTGGATGAACGATACAATGTCACTAAGGAGTTGGGTCAAGGTGCATATGGTATTGTCTGGTACGTTATGGATCATCATCAGCTTTTAGCGTAATCGTCTCTCCATCGATTCTGGTACTATCGAGAGTACTGGTTTTGGGAAGATGGATATAATGAAAGGCTGTCTTGATCACCATATTCTGACGACGATCTCCGGTTTCGCTATCTAGTGCCGCTACGAACATCCAAACCGGTGAAGGTGTTGCTATCAAGAAGGTCACCAATGTCTTCAGCAAGAAGATCCTGGCCAAGCGTGCCTTGAGAGAGATTAAGTTGCTTCAGCATTTCCGAGGTCACCGTAATGTACGTTTGGTCCCAACTTGATGCCAGTGAAATTGATAGGGCTGACCGGATCATGCAGATCACTTGTCTTTATGACATGGATATTCCGCGCCCGGATAACTTCAATGAAACATATCTGTACGAGGGTAAGAGTAACCCCCCTTAACATGGTCCACCCACAGTTACTGATATTGATTTCCTTGCCCAGAGTTGATGGAATGTGATCTCGCTGCTATTATCCGTTCCGGACAACCCTTGACCGATGCCCACTTCCAGTCTTTTATTTATCAGATTCTGTGTGGTTTGAAGTACATCCACTCGGCCAATGTTTTGCACAGAGACTTGAAACCCGGAAACTTGTTGGTCAACGCCGATTGTGAACTCAAGATTTGCGATTTTGGATTGGCGCGTGGTTTCTCGATTGACCCGGAAGAGAATGCAGGTTACATGACCGAATATGTCGCAACAAGATGGTATCGTGCTCCGGAAATCATGTTGAGCTTCCAGAGTTACACTAAAGCTAGTATGTGTCCTCCATTGCCACTGACAAGCTCTCTCACCAGCTACTTTTCTGACATACAACAGTCGACGTGTGGTCCGTGGGCTGCATCTTGGCCGAACTCCTCGGCGGCCGCCCTTTCTTTAAGGGTCGTGACTATGTCGACCAGCTCAACCAGATCCTACACTACCTGGGCACTCCGAACGAGGAGACCTTGAGCCGCATCGGATCTCCCCGGGCCCAGGAGTACGTACGCAACTTGCCTTTCATGCCCAAGATCCCCTTCCAGCGCTTGTTCCCCAGCGCCAACCCCGATGCGCTTGATCTGCTCGACCGCATGCTGGCATTCGACCCCTCGTCGCGTATCTCGGTTGAAGAGGCCCTGGAGCACCCATACCTGCACATTTGGCACGACGCATCGGATGAGCCGACATGCCCCACAACCTTCGATTTCCACTTCGAGGTGGTGGACGACGTACAGGAGATGCGTCGTATGATCTACGAGGAAGTCGTGCGCTTCCGTGCCGTCGTCCGGCAGCAGTCCCAGGCGCAGGCCGCCGCTGCCGCGCAACAGCAGCAGATCGCCCAGCAGACCAACGTCCCGATCCCCGAGAACCAGCAGGGCGTCTGGAAGCAAGAGGAGCCCAAGCCTCAGGAGGCGCTTGCCGCGGGCGGTGGCGTCCACAACGATCTGGAATCGTCCCTGCAGCGTGGAATGGACGTACAATAAACGGGCATGGGTGGCATGAAGTCCTTGACCCAAGTGAATATCTTCGTTCCCGGAAATCGCAGGCGTTTCCGGATATCTATATGCCAAGAAAATAAATATATTCACGGGTTCGCCCCAATTTGGTTCATCCCATGCATTTAGTTTCTAGCGGTACCCCTTTCCCTTTTTTCTTCCTATTTACCTATTAAAGGGTTTACGAGAGGACTGGTTCACTCCCATTCCGTTCTGGTATGTACCTGACTTTACCTATGTTACTGGCTACTGGCTATTTGACTTGGGTCTGTGTATGAGCGTGTATGAGGAAGACGGCAGCTGCATTGCGATTGAGCGCTAGTTTGATCTTTTGATTGATGAATGGATAGACTTGATGAAGTAGTTGATTACAGGATAGTATAAACGAGATGGTACTCCACTTTATTTGTTTGTCGTTCGTATGCCTCTCATCTTTTTTTTTTTTTTTTTAAAAAACAAAAAAAATGAAGGATGATTCTATTTCTGGTAACAACAGCACAGTAAATCTGAGGATATATAATCATTTCATCAATCATCAATCATACATACATAGGAGCAAAGACTACATGGAAAAGGGGAAACAGAAACCATCCCCATGCACATCAGGTCAACCCATACATCCACCATTCCATATATACTCTGGAGAGAAGAGAAAAGGCTCAATCAATAGTAATAACCCCTCCACCAAACAGCCATACAAGAAGCAACGAGCAAATCCAGCATCTTGATACCCTCATCCTCGATGATCAATTTACCTAGTTTAGCGCTCTTCCCGCGCATGCCGCCTCCGGCGTTTTCTCGCGCAAGCGAGAGATCGAGGCGGTCGTCACTTGGTGGACGGCGCAGAGGACGACGGGGTCCATCGTCGAGGTCTGCGACGCCGCTGCTGCTGCTACTTGTTGAGGGTTTGCGGGTGGGCACTCCGAAGTTGGAGGTGGAAGATGTTGAATGGGCGGATGCACCGGAGCGGGCGCGCGGACGGTTGTAATTGTTTGGGTTGAGGAATTGGGCGAAGGAGGCGCGCTTTGAGGTGCGGTCGGAAGGGGAAGAGGAGCTTGGGTCGAGGTTGTGGCCGTGATTGGGGGGGTTGCTGGTTGGGTCTTTGAAGGCTGGGGTTTGGCTGAGGGTGAAAGGCGAGATGTGGGAGGGGCCTGGTTGGTGGTGGAGATGGCCTGCTTGAAAGGGGGTGTTGAAGCGGATTTCAGCGACTGTAACGGCAGGATTGTCGATGGGGGCGCCATTGGGGCCTGTTGAGGGCATTGGGATCATGTGTTTGCATTTGAGGCTGCGGCCGTTTACACTCGTTGAGAATGTGCAGGTGCCGTTCCACGGTGAGGTGAAGGTGTAGTAGCCGCTTTTGAGCTTGGAGTGGTTGTGTTTCGAGGGGCTGTTGGTTCCGTTGTCTAGGTCTAAGGAGCCTCGGCCTTCTTCCTGATATGGTCGTGATACGCAGAGTTTGCGGTGGAACTTTCGGGGATGCGACGGTTGGTTGGGAGTGCTCTCTGCCAGTTCGGCCTGAGTAGGTCGGAAAGAAGACAGTGAGATGCGGTTGCCTATTTCGGAAGGTAGGTTTATTCCCAGACTGGCCAGTGAGAGCGGTTCGCTTTGCGCAGCGAACCGGTTGTACCCTGGCGTGGACACTTCGATGTCAATGGCGCTGCCGTCCAATTTCGGTGTTGATATTGTTGCTACATTCCATTGACTCCCATGGGTAGGGTCGCGACGGATGAGAGTGATGTGGAAGCCAGGTCTTTCCGGAGGTTTGCTGTCATAAGGTTTCCTACTTGGGGATTGGCCTGGACTTCTCGCTGGAGAACTCATGCGGTTGTATGATGGATTCGTATGGGCCGACTGAGGTCGCACTTGAGGTCGCCTGGAGTCGAGGCTGTGACGGCCTGAGGTCAGAACCTCATACTTTTCCTTCCAATTGTCTGCATTTCGTCCGGGCAAATACCCCGACAAGGCACTCCAACGATTGGTCTTCTTCGGCGCAGAATCATCCTCGATCAATTCAAATGCGAGCTCATCCTTCGGGACAGGTGGAAGTGGCCGAGCCGGCAAGGGTGGCCTTGCCTCAACCTCATCACCCGGTGGCGTATGCCCGAGAAAGTCATCGCGGCTGTCGGTTGTCATCTGAGTCGCAGAATGGGGTATATCGATGGATGAGCGACTCCCCGTCAAACCCGGACGAGCCGGCATCAGCGACAACGGCAGACCCGTAGAATTTGGCACTGGGAGAACATTCTCTGGTAGTGACACATTGGATCGGTGAGCAGGGAGGGGAGGACGTGTATCAGCATCCACCTTTGCACCACCGCCGCCAGGAACAGGCTTCCGACGAACGTGATTCATTTTCGCAAACTCAGGAGGAACATCCGCTTCCTCTCCAAGTTCCCTCCGCAGTTTCGCCTCTTCTTCGCGCTCTTGTTCACATTCCTGGAGTAAGACATCGTCCTCGGGTGTCGAGACATGCAGATAGTAGAGGGAAGCATTGATGGCTTCAGCCGAAACACTGGCTTTCGTTGGTGGTTTCAGTGGAGAAAGAAAGACATCTACATTGCGGATCAAAGACGTTGAGATTAGCATCCATCGTCCAATCTTGAATAGATTAAATGATCGGTCAATTTCTCCCACCGCTTATGCGGGGTATATTTATCTCCAAGCGATTATTATGCAGCAACCGACTATGACGTACCTTTACTGCCCGGGACTCTCACAATATACAAAACCAAAGGATCAAGTTTCTTCTGCGTCGGATTGCGTGGATAAGCCGGGGGATTCGAGGCTACTGCGGTAATGGAGGATAGCGAGCGAGCCTCAACGGGGCCTTGGGGAAGGCTGTGGTTTGGCGATGCGGCGGACGGAGAATCCGCCGCTGCATCGACCTTGGCCATTTACGGAAGAGGGAACAAGAGAACAGATCTCCAAGCGTCAAGGTCCGAGAAGGAAAGGGCGAGACGTCGATGAGATAATAATATGAAGGAAGTAATAAATGAATGGGTGAATACGAAGGCGCGGTAAACAAACGCTTGCGGAGACGTCGGACAGGCTGCGGAGAGTGCCGCCAAGAGCTGAGGACGAAAATCACTCTGCCATCGCTGGTCGTCGGTCTAGACTTTTACGTACATCGTGAAGATAGTTGGGAACAAGCACTATTTCTCTGGTAGACAAATGTTAAAAATAGATATTAAGAGTTGGGAAGGCAAAAGTGGGTTGTAGGGAAGGGGAAAAAGGAAAAAAAAAAAAAAAGAGGTTGCCTGGCTGGCGAATGACACACGCGTACGAAAGGACAACGATAGGGCATCAATGCCAAGTGCTATGTCTTTCAGATTTGGTATCTCTAATCAAATAGTTACAAGTGTTCCCATGCCCAAAGAAAATCGAAATGAGGACCTCACGTCCCATGGAATGTCCGTCGGGGGAATTAGCGCGCATTACCCATACAAAGCAAATTATAGCAGAAAAAGAAAATTAACGCCTAGGCTCCAAGGCTCCAACCCGCCCAATGTTTTGCAGATCACTATGATGGTAACTTAAACAACGGTCTCTGTTCTTTCATTTGTCGCGATGATCGGCACAGGAAGGCCTCGGTCAGGACTTTGCAGCACCAGCTGCTCGTGGCGTCGGGCCCGTAGAAAGTCGCTGATAGCGCGGATTAAGATAAACCAACCAACAATCATGAGAACGTATGAAATCCATTCACTCGTGGAGATCCCAGATACACCACCACCACCGCCGTCGCTCCCAGATCCATCGGTTACGGTGCTGGGGTCGAAATTATGACTGTTGGGATCCGGAGGTGTCACGTATTGTTCTGTACCATCGTCTGGTTTCGTATCACTTCCGCCTTTCATGTAGAATCCGTATTGTACGAGGGTAAGACCGAGACCAGCCCTACTTCCATTCTTCGCTGCATGCGTAGTATGGAGAAGGTAGGTCAGGAGGAAACCGACCAGTTGGAAGGACATGGAGATCATAGCGTTCCAGACAAACGAAAAGACGGACCCCACTGGTAACCCATCCACGTACACCTCGTCGGATGAGATCCCGGGGGCCAAAATCGTGGTCTCCCAGTACGGAGGGGTAGCGTCGGCAGCCGCCTCTTCATATGACTATACACAAGGAGTTAGCACGGGATCAATAGAATACGCATTGTTCACCACACTAAACAGGAGGTAAATACACACCGGAGGAAGGTCTTCGGTTTTCTCCCCACGCTCCGGCTTAGCCGCCAGGTTCGCAAAGACACCGTCATTCGTCGAACTGATCACTCGGCTACCAGTACTGAAACTAGGTAGTATTGTCTGCCTCCTTTGCATCGCATTATGCTGCTCACTGGACTGTTGCCGTTCATTACCCACTCCAGATGAAGAACTAGCGGTCGCACTGCTGCTATCTGCCACTGGTCGCGATTCCGGCTGAGCCCGCATTAGTCGCTGACGGTCATCCGGCTCATCCGCTTCAGAGTCACTCTCGTCATCAAATGCGTCGGCCAGCGCCTGATCTGCATCGTTGTTTAGGGGGTCGTCATGGAGAAGGCGTCTGGATGATGGAGAGGTGGAACGAGAGCGAAATGAGGGAGGGGGGGAGTTTGGTGTTCCCCGGAGAGGGATTGACGATTGTGATTGCGGTTGTTCATCTTCATCGTGGGCGTTTACCTAGAAATCACCAAATCAGCAACCTGTTACATAGATTTCACAGTACATCGGTAATTTCCATGGAACCTGCAGCCAGTCCAGGGCGGTGGGCGACTCTTACCCTTTGATAGCGCTGCGAGCTCATGACGAGCTGAGCGAGGAAAGGAAATCCGGAAAGAGAGGGGAAGGGCGGTAAAGAAAGTAGATCGGAGTTCACGACAGAGGCCTTATAGTATTACCAACAAAGAAGACAAGGCAGAAAGAGTGTCGGAGGGAAAGCGATGATGAAGATGGAAAAGGGATCGACTGTAGATGGAGGATGGGATGGAAATGAGGGCGATTACATGACGGAGTGGAGAGAGCGTCTGCCAGTGGCTGAGAACCGCCGCTGCTGCTGCCTGGGGCATTCCGCCCATCCCCCGTGACTTGACTTTTTGCCCGCGTAGATCATATCAAATAATTTAGATATCGCTAACTCCGACAACACATCGCAACACACTGAACCAATTGCATTCATCCGGGATAATCCCAGAGGCTCTCGGTGTTTCTACATTATTCAATATCTTCTAACAGACCCCTTTTCTCGATCATCCATCACAGTAGCAACCATCATGTCCAAGCCACCGGTTAGTCTTGGATTGTTCCTGCAACCAAACTAGATCAACCAACAGTAACCTGACAACTGTTTTAGGCCCAAACTATCACGCGCATCAATCACCTTCTCAAACACTGGCCCACTGATCATGTCCGCCCTTCAGCCGTCTCCATTCAGACCTACCTTCAGTCCCACCTCCCTCAAACCTCAGAGAACCCTTCTAAGCAACCGCAACAACAGTCGTCACAATCGCCACCCCCGCCTCTGTCAGAAGCTTCTTTGAATGCGCTGTCGTCGTTGTTGGAAGATCGCTATGCTAGACGGTATCCATTGCCTCCTAAGCTGCGGCGGCCGACAGGTAACCCGGACTACTATGACAATGTAATTAAAGAGTTCTCAGAGGCTCCGACACGGGATTTCTGGGGGAGAGTGAGCGCGAGGCTGAAGGGTCTTTTCAGGTTTAGCTAGGGTGCTGCACTATTGGCAATATTGGAAGTTAGGGTTGGGTTGAGGAGCTTGTATACTTATGTTTCAATGTACTACTATTTATTGCGATGGGAATATAGATCGCGGATAAGAGATTATTTTCGCCGCTTCTCGGTTATCTTAATATCTTTTGGTGGGAGAAATGTACAGTTATTGATTGTCCCGAGACATATTCTTGAATAATTTGAACTATTTTGTGAAAGAAATGGTATATACAACAGATCCCGTACCCGACATGACTTCACAAACTATACGCTCATAAATCCCATAATTTTCGCGAATTGGTGACATCCAAACATGCAAACAAAAAGACTATTAAAGGACGCGATCACAGCATGGGCTTTACATCATCAGCAACCTTAAACGGAGCTTCTGTCTTGCTCCGGACCTCATCAACAGTGACACCGTCGGCAAGCTCAACCAGGGTAAGGCCATCAGTGAAGTCAACATCAAAGACACAGAGCTCAGTGATGATACGGCTGACACAAGTCTTGCCGGTCAAGGGGAACTCGCACTGCTTGACGATCTTAGGGTTGCCCTTCTTGTCCGTGTGCTCCATAGTCACAACCACCTTCGTAGCGGAGGGGTTGGAGACTAGATCCATAGCACCGCCAAAGCCCTTGATCTTACCGGGCAACATCCCTATCATGCCACAGTTAGTACAGACAGATACTAAAGCTATACACAAGATGATCAGGTGCAGAAGAACTTACAGTTAGCCAAGTCACCTCTGGCGCTCACCTGCATGGCGCCTAGAATGGTCAAGTCGATTCTTCCGGAACGGATCATACCGAAGGACTCGTCACTGCCAAAGCAAGCCGCACCGGGCGCAAGTGTAACCGTCTCTTTTCCGGCGTTGATAAGATCCGGGTCTTCCTGGCCCTTCTTAGGGTAGGGGCCCAACCCCAGAATACCATTTTCAGACTGAAGCTGGACTTCCACGGAAGGATCAACGAAGTTGGGTGCCAGCATGGGCATACCGATACCCAGGTTTGCGTACATCCCGTTCTTGAACTCCTTAGCCGCACGACGGACAATACGTTCACGCTTGGCGGCGGTGTCACCCTTGCCCAGGGCAGCAGTGTCCTCACCCTCCTCCTTGGCAAAGGTGTACTTCTCGATATTCTTCGGCGTCGTGCTCTGAATAACACGCTTGACGTAGATACCGGGCAGGTGAATAGCAGCCGGCTCGATCTCACCGGGCTCAACGATGTGCTCGGCCTCAACGATGGTCATCTTAGCATTGCGGCCCATGGCCCCGTTGAAGTTCTGAGCAGCATAGCGGAACTGGCAGTTGCCCAACTTATCGGCTTTGTAAGCCTTAACGAAGGCATAGTCACCCTTGATAGACTCCTCCATGACATAGCTCTTGCCATCAAAGACCTTGACATCGCGGGGCTTGCTCCGCAGAGCGACGGTGCCATCAGCATTGTGCTTCAAAGGCAGCTCACCTGTCTGCACAACCGTACCAAAAGCGGCAGGCGTGTAGAAAGCAGGGATTCCATGACCACCCGACCGACAACGCTCAGCCAAAGTGCCCTGTGGTGTCAACTCCAACTCAATCTCGCCCGTTAGGTACATGCGCTCGAAGGTCTTGTTCTCGCCCACATAGCTGGCAATCATCTTCGAGATTTGCTTGGATTGAAGAAGAAGGCCAAGACCGGCTCCGTCCACACCGGCGTTGTTGCTGACCACCGTCAATCCGGTGATCGAAGGGTTCTCTCGCACAGCATTGATAAGAGTATCCGGTACACCACAGAGACCAAACCCACCTGCCAGGACGGTCGAGTTGGACTTCATATCCTTAATTGCTAATTCTGCAGAAGAGACGACTTTGTTGATCTCGGAGCGACGGACGCTGCTCGAGAATGCACGCGCAAGGAATCGTTGATGCTAGTAGGAGACTCGTCAATATAATCCCGCCTCGGCATCACGGACTGTGTACACTACCTTGCTCGGATCTGCAGAAAATTGCCGCGCAAGGCGCAGGCACGTAGCAACTTGTGATGGCATGTTGAACTGAGAGCCTAACGGGGTTAGACGCGTAAAGAGCACTACAGTCTGCTGTTAAGAGTCGCAACTGATGAACTCAGGCGATAGTCTTTTCGTGAGTATATAAGAAGACACTGAGAAGTAGCAGATTAAGATGCTCCCAGTTGCGCTTATGAGCTACGGAGCAGCGTGTTCGAACGGATATATACTGTCTTCGGAAACCAAGAGCGGCTTGCGCCGGAGGCGCGGAAGATACCCGTAACGGGTGTTATTAAACCCTTCCTTAATACCCCGGAATTTCCCCGCAATCGTTGGAGATCGGACAACAAGCTCTTATCCATCATTTATTTTACTTGTAGGAATAACCACGCTTTCTTTGCACAGTACCTACCACCAAAACATTTTGTAATTATTTATGTCTAATCTCAATCCTATGAGCCTACAACGCGTCAACTTCCGAAATGGAGGCAGCATGTTAGATTGCCGATGTGGACTGCCGATGGCGGGCAATGTTCCGTTTCCGATCCGCGGCCCGCCCTTCGGATCTGCATATAGCTAGGCGCAATCTGAGTCACGTGGCCAGATTAGAGACTCCCAGAGTATATTAGACACAGACAAATGTCATTGTACAATCATAGACAGTCGTAACTAATGGTATCACCCGCTATCTACAGGAACAATAAGTACTGACCCGCTGCTATGTATAAACAACAATATCTCAACATCACACAGCTGACACGAAGATTGTAAATGCCTGTTTGGGCGGCTTGTGGTGGTCGATGTATGTATGCATGGCCACAGGGACGGCCTAGGGATTAAAAGTCCAATAGAATTCAAATTAAGTATGTCATCATTCGATCGAGCTCGGAAAGAATGGCGAGGGCAAAAGGTCGTCTTGATCAATGGATATTTCCGTAGCCTTCACTTCGAAACGACATGTTTCGCTGAGAATAACCACCAAACCTCATCTGCCCAGCATAGAAAGGATGACAAAGGCAGTATCATAAATATAAGCGCACCAGGCACGGGATCACGGTCAGATGTCGCTGCACAGAGGGCCACCCAAGCTTAGCTGATTGAGCCAGCTACATCATCTGACCCTTTTCGTTTCAAGGGATTCAGTGTCGCGACACCGGTCGGAAGCATTGTTTCAGAGCCTACCATTGCACATCATGGAAGTCAGTGTCTTTGTTTGACGGCCCTCTGCCAGTGACCTCGTCGCCCCCCACACCTGTGTGGCCCGTTTTATCTTCTATATGGTGGTTATCTTCCGTACCTGATGTGCCTTTGTCAGTCCATATCTCATCGTATGCCGGTGGGTTCATATCCACGTCTTCTGCAACTGTTGGCGCAGTAACCCCTTCCATAGGATTCCCTCCATCTGCGCTTGGTTGATCATCCGGAGGAGACTCGATTATCTCCCTGCAAAGAGGACTGACTAGACGGTCTTTCATAGTCGCATTGACATATACGAGGAAGTACGGAGTCGGGGGATTTTGGCGGTCCTGGCTCGTAAATATTTCATCCAGGTCATGCACTTCAGTGACATAGTTGTCGTTATACTTGCGCCAAACATTCCGTTCAAAATCACAGATGTAAATGTAGTAGTGCCCGAATTCAACGGAGCCATGATGAACAAATACAGCATAGAGACGATAGGCCAAATGTTTGTAGTCAGCAAACTGGCTTGAGATCATAGTTTGTAAATCCTTGATCTCTTGCTCGATATCTAGAAAACATGTGAGTATAACTGTTCACAACAGTCGAACCATGTGTCAAAACCATATAGGAACTTAGGTAATATAGGAGCAAAGAAAGGCGAGAGATGTGACACTTACAGTTCAGCTCTGCCCTCGCTATCTGGGAAAGTTGACTAAGCTCAGGTATAAGTTCTGGGTTGATAGGAACCGCATCTGCTGCGGTCTCGGGATCCTCCTTCATAGAGCTCAGCTCTTCTAGCACACCCCTAGCATTGTCGAACAAGCTCGGTATGTTCAGGCCATCAGCCTCCTGTGAGGAGTTAGCACATCTCATCACTTAGGATGGAGACCATTCTTCGTTTGGTCCATACACTTTGGCGTTGCAACTCTGCTTGGCGAGCCTCGAGTTTTCTTAACGCATTTTTCCATTCCCAACACTGGCGACGGCGATTCATGATTTCGGGTTGTTGGGTGTCCATATACCGGTCAAGGTAGATAGTCTCTTTCAATTCTAAATGGTGGGTGGACTTGAAGGAGCGCTTCTTGACAGGATCGAACTGGACACGCTGGACCTGAACTTGGAGAACTGGCGGCAGCTTGCTGATTGCACTAAACTGCTCCGCCATCGAATTATCTACGCTAACTTTCTGGACGTCAAAAGCACCGTCAATGGCAGCATAGATATCTCGCGATCCGGTCGCGACGTCGATCTTTATATCACACCACCATTCTTCCTTTGATCGCACCCCTTCAGTTGTTTGAATGTAGGATTTGGCTTTACCGTAAAACAAGCTATTGAAGGACAGCATAAGTTAACCCAGAACTGACTTAAAATATGTATCGAAACTCACTCTTTAACCTGATCGAGCTGCTCACCATCTGGAGCAAGCGAGATTGGCTTGATGGCGCATTGACTCTGGAACAACACATTATTGATTACTTCTGTCACATCCTGCTGAGCTCCAATCTCTACTTCCTCTATAAGTTGCTTTTGCGGATTAGGCTGTGGGCCAGGCCGTGGAGGGACTGGAGGAGGCTGGCTAGACAGCTCATTCTTCTCAGAAGAAGCCGGTGTGTCGGATGGATGGTACTCAACTGCCTCGGGGCTTAACTCGTTCTGCGCGACCGTCTTTGTAGAATCTGTACGTAGGGGATCGGGTTCCTTGTCATTAGAAGGCGGGACTGTGGCATCGACCCTGATACTATCAGAGACAAGAGTTGCCTCGCTATCAACATCGCTTGTCGTTGAGCGTTGGGGTTTCTCTGGCTCGGGAGCTATGGGCCCCTTGGCTTCACTTTCTGTAGTCGGCTGTGGGGGTCCGAGAGGTCCCATAACTGGCACACCATTGATTTCACCAAGAGCACTAGGTCTGATTCCAGACATCGTCGACCGGCGACGGATAGCGGCTTCGTTAGAAGGGCTGATCAGCGTCAGCCGCGCCAGCTCCTGGGTGGGAATAACATAAGTTGCCGGGGCAGTGATCATGTCGTTAAAGAGAGTTCGCAATTCTCTAAGGACTAGAGCAGATAGTCGTGAGCTTTTCGCATCGAACACGCATACTCAAGAAAACAAGAACATCACCTACATCGTTGGGACCGCTCAACCTCCTTTTGCGACACTTTGCGAGACCCCACCTGTTTTTGGCTCAATATGTTCTCATTTATATCCATTTTAAAATTTTCGAAGTCCAAAACCATATCACGGTATGGGCGAATTGAAAAATAGAATTGCAACAGACTATTGAGGTAGCAGGTATTGCCAATATTCTGCAGTCCGACCGGCCATTCAGCCAAGTTACGGTCAGTTTTAGTGGCGGAACCAGAAACCATGTTGCTCAGTAAAGGGCTATTCTTATCTTTCGCAATAATTCGCAGCGCCTGGTTGTAGTTTTCAGCTTGTGCTGGAGCTTCATCCACACAAATCGTGTATGCTGCCATAATTGCGCCCTCATCCACTGTGCGATCGGGTATTTGAAGGAGACGATAGGCATCAGCGACGTCCATCTCACCGGCAGTCATCTCGCCTGTCTTGAGAAAATGATTCAAGGCTTCCGATTTTCGCTCCTCAGCTAGCAGCTGAACTGCACGGCGAGCAAGATCCCGGCTCGATGGATTGTCATTAACCTTGAGTGAGGTTAGCAAACAAAGACTCAACACTAGATTTCAGGCTTGAAAAGAAAATACTTTAGCTGTGAAAACTGCCATGACAAAATCATCAGGTGTATCAGCGGTAACGCCAAGGAAAACCCGGGCCTGCTCAGCAGTTGACACCCCTATCGCCGTTAGTTAACTCATTGAAACCCATTTCTGGCCGGGTCAACTCAGTCGTACTTTCTTCCGCTGCTGCCTTAATCCGCTCACTACGCCTGCTGTCTCCTATCCTCCATAGTTGTCTGCGGGTCTCAGTCTCCTGAACAGCAGTAGTGGCACCTAGATAAGCATAAAATTTCCCAATTATGCTGTCTTCCGTGAGTCGCTGGTCATCGTGACTTAGACCAAAGTACTTGTAGGCATCAACCACGTCCTCTTCGGTGTATTTCCCTTCGGAGTAGGCTACCTGAACTGCCTGGTCTATAAGAGAGCCATCTTCCCCTCCTCTGAGGATTCCGATTGCCTTCAGACACTTTAGGTAGACAGGAGCCCTAGTAGGATCCACCGAGACTTGTCGGTTAAAGGCCTCTACGATGGAAGAGGCGGCCATGTCCTCAACGACACCCAGGTCTTCATAGTAACTGTTGCATGATCAGCTTTCGTTCACAAGGGCGCAATTCTCAGATAAGACGCACGGTTGAGGAGCCATCTGAAATTCACTTGATCGTGAGGCCTTCGGGTCTTAATATCATTAGCATGAATGCTATAGTAGGAGGTGCTGGTATACACCTACAGTCCAAAGAGTCCAACGCATAGAGGAGATCGTTGAAGACCGGTTGACGATTAAATTCTAGCTGGTGGCCCTTCTTCTCTACCACTGGCCTCTGTTCTATGAGCGCTGTAAGCTCGTGTATAACGTCATCGAGAAATATCTTGAGCTGGTCGCGATAGGGAAACTCTGCCCACGGATTCGGTCGAGGCGGTTCCCAAAAGCCTTCATTCTGGTCAAAGCATTAATCACGATGAAAATTGCAAGCACATGTTACAGTGCAATTTTACAAACCTTATAGCTAAATCCCAGGAATTCTAACAGGTCTTTGCAAGGCTTCCCTTCAACTCCGAAACACGTCATGAATCTTTTATTAACCGCTGAGATTGACTTGCTCTGTTGGCTATCAAGAAGAGCGTTGCTGATATATGTACGCAAGTTCAGCAAGACATTGATAGGTGCGGGCGGAGCAACTCCTTCCAGACGGTCAGGATGGGCTGCAAATGCCTCGTTCGCGCGCTCTCGCAGCACTTCGGGGTCTATTAACAGTCGCACCTGGTCATCGTTAAGGACAGGTGAGGCGAACCCCACAGATACTGCGACGGAGCAAGACAGATATGAACATTCATAATGAAATGTCTCCAACATCTGTCCCTTGGGGCTGGCTTCCTCCGGCGCAGCGCCGCCTCTGTACTTTCCGGACCTATATACCAGATGATGTACGTGGTCTGAAAATCTCGCGCTAGGTTGACCAATACCGGGCGTAGAGCTCACATCAACTTGCATATGATAACGGCACCTCAAGCACACGGCCGACACCTTTGTAGGGGCTCCAGTATTGCTTTGCTCCGACTGAGGGACATAACTTTGGGCTGGTTTCGACACAAAGTTATGGCGGCATGCCGCCGATGAGATGTGTTCTAGCGGTCCATTGTAGTATTCAGGAAACACTGGCGGGACGTCCGCGAGCAGATTGCGGCCGGTCGTTGGAGGGTGAGCAGGATCATATTCGTATATATCTTGTACAAGACGGGGGGCAGTCTTGCCTAGTCGTCGGTTTGTCCATGTCAGTACCGTGTGCATGGTAAAGCAATACGCTCCCGCATCGGGCGAAGCTACATACCTGACAGTTGAAAGGACGTCATGGGGACGCTCGTTTGAGCTCACAGTTGGCGGGGATCAGGCCGAGGGATCCAGAGTTATTCAAAGAAATTTTTCCATAAAGATGGGTTTTAATATTTTGCTCTTAAGAGGTAGATCAGCAGTTATTGATCACCTGAAAGCCAAGAAATCATCCGATTCTGATAGAATGAGCGTTGACAGTTGGACTGGCGGGGAGCCCACTGCAGTTGGAGCAAGCGGGCGGCAACTTTGGTGATGGATTCACCACCACCGACGCAGTTGACTTTTGAGATCGTTTCAAAAGAAGGAACGTTTACTATGGTCAGAAATTAAATACCTCAAAGAAAGGGACCAACAAAGTCGTATGGCGAACAAAGCCATCTGTTCTCCCATCACTAAACATGAAGCTCTAGGAAAGCCCAAGGAAGGCGGTGTCGCATGGCAGAAACCGCGACTTCCCAAAATCCCAGCGAACCGTCTGAACGACTCGCCTACTCCAATCAGAAGCCCATTCCAGATTCAACCGCCACCATGGCTGGACACACTGAAGATCACAGCTACCATCCTAAGGATGCGATCCAGGCGACAATGAAGACCACCATGCTCACTGGTGGGGTGGGTCTCTTCGCCTCGGCAGTTCAGAACACCCTCACCAGGAAGAACGTTGGGCCATTCGGTGTCTTCGTAAGAAGCGGCAGCACAATCGGTATCTTCGGTATGGATGCAATTGGAATCGGCCAGTGTTAGGCTCGACTTTGCTGACAATTGTTATCCAGCGGCAATGGGAGGTACCTATGAGTTCGTGAAGACTGCGTCCGCCAACCTGCGGGAGAAGGAGGATCACTGGAACGTCGCATTGGGTGGTTTCTTCTCTGGTGCAATCTTGGGTCTACGAGGTCTGTGTTCATATACTCTCTCAATTTGCAATTGCGTCCCGTTATTCTGACAGCTGTGCAGCTCGGACTTTCCCCGCCCTTCTCGGTTACGGTGCTGCACTGGCAACCGCCATGGGCACTTTCGAATACACCGGCGGATCGTTGTGGGGTTATAAGAAGAACGCCGATATTGACGAGTTCGAGCGTCGGGAGCAATTGCGGAAGTCATACAGAACCTCCGGCGAGCAGACCCTTGCCGAATTGGGAGAGGGACGAGGTATGTACATCAAATCCGGCATGGCTTCGATAGCAAGTTACATTATCGCTGATGTGAGCTATAGGACTCTATGGCCCTGGCTACGCCGAGAGACGGGCACAGAGAATCAAGGAAGCATACGGCATCGAGGTCCCCACATCCCAGGCTCCCGCTTCATGAATATAGTTTAGTTTCCAGGTCTCTTTCCAATCTGCCGATTCCCAGTATCCTTGTGTAAAATTACCCTTATATGTCGAACACGTTTAGCTAGCAACTTTGGCAAAATTCTCTACTGGAGATTGCATTGTTCTTTGGTCATGTTTTCTCTGTTGATATCTTTCAATCGCTTGACCAACATGAACGTAAGAGCATGGGTACGGCGTGACAACATTTCTGGCGTAAGGGACAAATTGCGCCCAGCCAACACATTATATGCTGGACTATGTACGTCATGCCATGCTTCAATGTGCATTCCGATTATAATTAGAATGAAGCGGCGAGGGAGGTTGGAAACTAGCGGTGGCCTATCTACAAGAATATGCGACAAGGGTCAATCCCCATGCTCGGGGGGATCAACCGCGTGTCCTAAAATAGAGCCAAAGCAAGTTCCCCCATTGAAACAATTACAGGCCCTCGACCGTTAAGCTTCCTAATGTTGATACCAGCTTGTAGAGGCACTATCTATGTAAGGTGGTATGGTACATCTCCAGTATCCATGACGGAGTCTGGAGCGAGATCGACCAATCACATAGTGGATTTATCAAATCACTTCAGCCTTAATATTCAGGTATCCACCAGCATCGGGTTTGAGCTAAGGATAATGTAAGAGACGGCGGAAACCCGGAACGCCTATCCATATGATCTATGGAACTGACAGAACGCTGTCAATCTATTAAAGCAAACCCAAGGGATGCAAGGTCAATGCAGGGGAAAAAGTCAGGGGATATGATATCATCCTCCTTGACTCGCCGCCATAACCCTACAGCAAGTTATGCAGACAACCTTGGTTGCAAATACTCGAGGTTTACCCTATGATTGATTTGGGAGTGTATGTTTACAAATGATGGGTGGCGGTGGTTTCTGTGGTACGGTACTAGGAGATGTAACTCCATGAATCAGACCAACAGGTTTTACGACAGGATCGACTAATCACAGCTAATCTGCAAGGTCTGTCACAACTTCAGACCTTTCTGAGGGATCTCATGAAAAGAAGTAAACATGAATAAGGGAGTGAGTGGGTGGAGGTGCTAAAGAGTCTATTGCGAAAAGGGGGAAGGCCATGGAACATCATCCTTCGCTTCGATACTATTAGTAGTATTACGGAGTAGAATATGTACTTTTGTATACTCCGTACTATACTAGTTAACTCCTACGACTTAGTCAGGTATGGGAGAGAAAATTCAATTAGGAAGTATTTCTGTAACTATGAACGGGAATCTGCCCGAACCAGTCTTCTGGAAACCTTCCGGCTTGATCGACATGGAAAGCGATGAACCGTGCATGACGTCGAAATAGAAGGTTTGTTTGTTTTTTTTTTTTTTATTTTTTTTTTTTGCCTCGTCCTTTTTACTTCTCAAGAGTCTTACTGTAATTGCAGCCTCATCGCTTCCTAAAGAGGAAGTCAAGAGCACGGCCCGAATATCTCCTTTTTCTTTCTTAACCTATAGGAGTGTGTCAAATTAGTGGAGATATTGCCACTGGACGGAAGGAAGAAAAAAGGGGGGGTGGAAGAGAAACCAAACGAAGAGATGAAGAACAATTATGCAAACGCTAGGAAGATTCAGTCGATGATGATTTCCTCCGTATGATTAAATTCGATCCACTAGGAGATGGGTCGGGATATTTGATTGGCGTATTGATTGATATGAACCAAGGGGGAGAATCATAGCCACAGGTCAGTCTCTCAACTGATGACCCAGCCACTGTCCACTCGGTCCCAGGGGAGCGAATTGATTTGAGAAACCTGGTGAATGGTGACGATAACGATGGATAATCTTTTTTTTATTTGGACTAAATTCACGACGTCCTGTAATTATTCGCCTCGCTAGACCTTGGGGAATTGTTTCTGTCTGGTTGGATATTGATTAAATCAATATAGGCTCGACACTACTGCATACTCCTGAATCAACCCAAGCAGAAAAATGGTTCGTTACTGGTGAACAGGCAACGGCATTTTTTTTAATAATAGAAATCGTAATCAAACTAGCATTCTCTGACCTAGTACGTACGCTTTCTAAGACTAAGAGAATATAGCATAATAAAAGGAAAAGGAGGATACAACTTGACGTGGGACATGGCATGGGTACTAAAGTACTTAGTAGTTATACCGACCTCACTAACCCTGAGTCGGTAACTTGAGTATTTGACGTATTGTCCAGTGAATAAAAAGAGGTGGTCTGGGATTTACTCCATAATCTTCTTTTATTTATTCTCTTTTCATCCAGACAATACGGAGTAGAGATTGGCAGTAGAACGACTCGTAGTAGTACAGAGAGTTAAGGACTTTAGGTAAGTAAGCTAATTAATTAGTTACTATACTTTTGAATTTTATTATTACTCTTATTCTCAACATTCTCATTCAGCTGCCATCCTTCATTGCTGTAGGTTGAAAATATTTTCTACCTCGGTATGTCATTATTACCTTCCATTCCATGGATGCCTCTCTCTCTCTCTCTCTCTCTCTCTCTCTCTCTCTCTCTCTCTCTCCCATTCTCTCTCTTCTACTCTCTTCTTAGGTCTCCTCTTTTTTTCTTTCCTCGTGAAGTCAGATCCCCCGTTGTTCACGCCGAAGATTGGTTAGGGTCCGGGGAGTCCGTTCCACTGTTTTGGGGAACCAGTAGTAAGTAGTTCTTGGTCGTCATAACGTCGCATCTGCCTTGAAGTCTTTTCGCCGGGCGTAGACGTCATCCGGAACCGTCCAAGGCTTTTAACCAGATAGTACTTAGTAGTAGATAACCCCTCACTCTCCAGCTGGTGGATTTTGGTCATAATTAATTATTAACTACAAATCGTACTTTTTGACCTCCTCGATGCCTTTGTTTCTCCTTTACAACCACAACTCAAATCTCGCATGATCTGGTTTTCCTTCCAGGCCAAAAAGACGGCTATCCTGATTATTGATCCCATCCCAGCGCCGAATCCTTTAATAGTAGACCCGGTGGGGCACATTCTAATGAGGGATCGGCCGTGACTACTGCCGGACAGAGTACGACGACAGCGACACTATCGCCGAAAGATTAGGAGGTCGTTACCCTTTTACTTGAACTCCCCGCAAACAGTTCGCTCCAGACCCTCTCTGGACGCTTTTTAGTCCGCGCCCTTAGTTCAAGGAGGTCACGTCCCAAACTCCCGTTCGCTGGGTAACCAATTCCAGAAAACCGTTTCTGGTGGTATATCTTGGGAATTGGGGCATTACCCGATCTGGACCTTTTTTTTTTTTTTT